GTGGCAGTTTGCTTCTAGGAGTAAATTAAATTTAATTTATTCAAAATGTTTCAATTTGTATCCGGAAAGGCAACTTATGAATCCCCTCAACTCAGTGGGAAAAACAAATGATTAATGTTCGTCAATCCTTTCATCTGTGAACGCTGCTAACTACACATATAAATACACTTTATAATCTCAATTGTCATTGGCAGCGAGCATTAATTTCCATAAATATTTGGCTTGGGAAATCAGGGAATGATAGGTAAAAGCAGCCAATGGAAATTAGTTAATATTGAAACTGAATATAACAATCTCTTGCTGACATTAAACATATCTCGAAATGAATGTAAATTGACAATTTTGCGGAGAGCAAATAAACTTTAATAAAAATAATTATAAATAACTTTAAGCTCAACGGACAGGACATGCTTATTCGCCAAAGGGACCCAAACTGTTGAAGGCATCCAAGTCATAGACATAAGAACAAATGAATTCAATAAACATGGATGCGGATAAAGTGCGGGTATCGTAGTGCAGCCAGTCAAAAGCCACCAGAGAATGTGCGCATTGAAGCAACTCAATTTGGTAATTACAACTTGTAATTAAGCAAAACACAAACTGAAAATTGAAATTCCTATATGCATGCCACAATAATAACAAGAGCTATTCGCAATTATTGGATTATGAACATTTTGGGGCCAGGGCCATGTCTTAATCAGGCAACAATGCGCAGCAAGCATTAACAAGTTTTCACTGGATAATTGCACATTAAGCCATCGGCAATGGCAACCAACAACTTCCCACGGGGCATTATCACGTACCGGACAATCAGAGCAAAAGTGCAATATCGATGGCTGGGCAGCAAGTTAACCTTAACTCTCGATGCTCCCAAAGGGGGAGGGGGGGGAATGTGTGTACATAAAATTACTGCGGAAATAAAAGGATTTTCAGCGGGTAAATGCACTTCGGGCCATGTCAGTGCCGATAATATAAAGTTTGCACAATTGCCACCAAGACACTCAACGACATCATTAACGTGGCGCAAGGAGGGCCGGGCCGGGCTGGGCGTGGTATGGCGCCATGACAATCGTGGCAAGGGCTCGGGCTTGGGCTCGGGCCACTCTTTGGGATTGTCGTATTGTTTAATGGCCGGCAGGCGCGACAGGCACATCGAAATTATGGTCGACTTTTGCCAACTCAATTAATGAAAAGTAAACAGACGATGGGCCTTTCACAAAGGATTCCCAATTTCCATGAGGATGTGTATGAGTTCCCATCAGATAGTGGAACCCATTCAGACACAAGAGTGTGAGAGAGGAGAGAGAGAGCTCTATTTGGGGGTCAACTCTGGGACTCTGTTCGGATGGCACACAATGCAAAATTAATTAGCTTACTTCACTTAATCGCTTGCAATTTGACTGCAACCAGGCCGAGCGAGAGACAGAGAGACAGAGAGGCAGACCCACAGGCAGAGTGATCCACCTATTCCTCGACAGCAACATCCTCATCAGCATTCCCATCATCGTCATCAGCATCATCATCATCATCATCATCATCATCATCGTTATCCTTGCACTGGTAGACATCATCATTGTTGGGCATCCTTCGTTTGCCCTAGCAACTGGCATGCCGTAAAGTAATTTGCATTTCAGGCTAATGCCATTTGCATGCGCATATTCCGATTACAATTTAGTTAAATTTGTCCCCACGCCATCCCCCTACCCCTACCTATACCCTGACGCTGACGGGTGGCAATTGTCCTTGCCAGAGTTGAAATTTTCAACGAGCCAACTATTGACAATGAACTAATTGCTATTGTTGCCGTCTGGGGACATATTTCGACTGCAAATAAACTCGTTGCTAAAACGGTCTCGTGGGGGAGAGATAAAGACACTGCCAGAGACAGGGACAATAGCAGAGAAAGAGAAAGAAACAGAAACAGAGACAGAGAGGGAGAGCTGAAGTAATAGTGAGTAGAAAGAGGTAGCCTGGACTCTTTGGCTCCCCCCTAAAGCTACTCCCCCTCTTCAGCACCAGCCAACCCACAGCCCAAGCGGCCACTCAAATGTCTCAAGAGTCTCGCCATTCTGGTGCTGGCCGACTGCATCCCAATCCATGTCCCAATCCCAGCCACTGGCACGGGTGGGTCGCACAGCCCACGCCCACACCAGTTCCAGTTCCTGTTCCTGTGCCAGCTCCTGACACACGCCACACTCTCCAAATCGCAAACAATTACTTTTTGAAGTAGTGCAAACGCCCACTCTGCCACTCTTCCATCTTGCATCGACCGTCGACCGTCGGCCACCATCTACTACTATCCGGCAGAGCAGCATCCACACTGCTGCACAATCACCTGTGCCACGCTGCTCACCTGCGCCACATTGATCTAGCCCCATTCCGAGTGCCAGATAACGAACCGTTCGATGGAATGCCTCAAGCTCGAGCGAGCTGCCTGCTGTCATGGCGCATAGTCACAGTGGGTAGCAGTAGGTAACATGATTACACATAGTATGGGAAAGTCATGAGTACAGTAAGCACAGCCTACAGTGCATAAACAGAAAATGTAGGCAGAACATTTGAGAATATTAAAAGAAATCATATAAAGGAGTGCGAGTGAATGAACCAATATATTCGTATAGATATCCGGTATCAAAGGAATTACTATGGGTATTTCATACGATTATCCACTGTACCGTTGTCGGTGCCTTTGAGAGCACACATCGAACACACCAGCAGCGTCTAGCGCTATGGCACGAACCTTTGGCAGCCATATTTTATAATTAAAATTTCAAATGCTCGCCAGAGGGCGGAACAGACGGAACAGACCGGCAGCAGACCGGGCTTGTGGTTCATTCTGGAGATCTCATTGATATTGGTAAACGCTTGGCTGGGCTGCATCTAGTATAGCTGTCCGCTTTCGCTATGGCCGGCCATTGCTGCGCGCAATTCAATTGAAAGAGTTTTAAGATAACTTTGTGCTTTTTGTTGCTGCTGCTGCTGCGGCTGATGAGGTGGAGTTGCCGGTAGAAATGTTCCCCAAGCTGCGAGCAATATATAACTAAGTATTCAATATGGTCGGTTCGATTTTATGGCCGCGCACTTACAAAATGGCGGCAGCCATTAAAATTGGTAGTTAGCCGGCCATAAAGCGAACTGCAAATGGTTTAAGCGTTTTACGACTCTCCCGGGTTGGAGACCCCTATCCGTATCCTGCTGTACCGTACGGGTGGTCATTCATTCGGTCAATCAGCTGATAATGAACTGCAGAAATGCCCGATTCTCACCTGCGACCGTGAATCATCCGGCGAGATACAACTACAATGGCAGTTACGAGGTTGCAAAATCAGGATCTTTCGCTTATCCTTTGCCGTAGCAGTAGCAGTAGCTGTCGGCGGGTGGGGAAAGGGAAAACCAACCAAGTTTCTCAAGTATTTATGAACTTTGTTAACAGGCCAAGAATTACAAACTTGTGAGCGGGATGGGGGGGATGGGAGGATGGGACGCGGCACACGGAAACTTCTGAATGAGAAATTGTGTGCAAAAGCGACAGTGTTCGTTGGTGCCAGCCAGTGAAAATGAATTAAATGGCCACGCCCACACACACACACTAACACACTCAAACATACACCTACACAGGATACAGAACACACACACTCGCACTCACACTTACACAGTTACGTTGTGAAAGGTGCACTAATTGCCAACAACTCGCCGGGCAAGTTTACGGCCAAGGTAAACGCGGCCAAGCTCCGTAGGCCAAAGTTCAATGTGGCTCAAGTTTTTCGACCGTGCAACGCCTACTTTTCTCTGTGTCTGTATGGGGTGTGTGTGTGTGTGTGTTCTTGCATGTGCTTGTGAGATTTTGGTGTTGCCTCTTCGGTACTTCACCTTGTGCAACTTTTCCCTCTTACTTGTACTTTTGTGACTTTTTTCCACTCTGAATCCCAGCTCGGCTGCACCCAGGCCTGCCCTCCCTTGTTTCCTTCTTCATTCCCTGTTACGTTGCTTTAAGGCGCCTTAATTTCAATTTAAACTTCAGTTTTTTTTTTTTTGCCTTTGTCTCCGGCTGCTTCGTTTCCCTTTGCCATGTTTACGACTTGTTGGTTTTTCTCTTCTTTTTTTTTTTTTTTGTTTCTTTTTGTTTTTTGCCCACGTTAATCACTTTTCTTCATGGCTTTTCATTTGGCATTACTCGAATCGCGGCCTCCGAGCTCTGGGTGGGGGCTCAGCCTGATTTTATTAAAATACCATAAAACTACATCAGTCTAATTAATAAAGTTTACCGTCATTTTGTATTTAAGAACTACTGAGAGTGCACTCTCTCTCTCTCTACTCTCGACTGAGTCGGGAGTTTGCACTATCCCAGTGGTATATACAAATTTTTGAAACTCATTTCTGAGTGGGGTTAAAATAAGAGGAAAAATATACATAGAAATTTATTAGAGAGGACAAATTGTGTACCAACCCTTCTAGTAATATTCAGATCCGTGGTCAATATTCGAAATACATTTAATTGGCATACTTATCCTCAGCATATATAAATCCTTGAGTCATATCCTTTAAAACAATTATAATAATTAATTACACAACATTTTAACTCATTAACGACACAACAAGTCGTATTACAGCAAAGCTTTCAGTACCATTTTTGAACAGTTTTAATGTGTAAATGAAGTAACAAGTATACGCCTTTTAGCAAGATTTTTCAAAGGTATTTTATAGAATAGCAATAAAAACATATTAGCGCTGTGGTTTTTGCAACGATGCTCCGAGATTTTCCAACACAAAGTTCCATAGACAAAGAAAACTAGCACACTTAATAAAACTGATTTAATGTTTATCAATTGTTTTCAGTGGTGCTGGACCAGAACTTCTGGGGGCTAAGAAAAAGTTTTTATTTTAATGGCTCTACAAAAACATTGCGATACTGTGCGGGTACTGTGCAACAATTTCTACCAAATGGCTCTTAAACGCTGATAATTGCCATATTTTTTATTCGATATATTTGCCCATTTAAGTTACTGATACATCGTACGAATGGCACAAAAGAACTTGTACGACATCCGCAAAAACTGACAAGCAAAGAAATAATTATCACACGAAATCGGAGGGGTTGAATTCAACTTACGATGCTCATGGTCTCAATGGAGATATCCAAAAAGACGGTGGCCTTGAGACAGACAGGCTTTTGGGCACGCAGAGCCAGAACGACGAGCATCTTACGGAATCTCGGATCGGCATCCGCCCAGTTCATATCATAGACTGCATAGCAAATGCTGCCACTCTGCAAAATAAAAGGTAGGAAAGTCCCAAAAAAAAAATATAACCTACCGCATCGATCAGCATCTGGCTGAAATTGCAGATAAGATAGATTTCCGAATTGGCTGAGATCAAGATCAGAATCAGTTTGGCCAGCATCTCGGGACTGATGCCGATGGAAATCTGGAATCCCACAAAGCAGACGAGCGTCGACGAGGCCAGAAAATTCAATAATAGCGCGAAGCCGAATACCTCGTTCATAACGTCGGTGAGTCTAAGGGGGAGGGAATGGTGGGAGTCTCTTATACTTCGAATCTGGAAACCCACCCGAGAATCTTGTTGTGATAGGCAATCAGTTTCTGCAACTCCTTCAGATCCTGGTCAGCGCCATCCTCCTCGGTTTGTGCTCGCACCGTAAACTCGGTCAGGGACTTGGCCAGATGGTCAAAGTGCATGATGACCTGTATGGCCACGGCGAAGATCATGAGATCGGCGGAAATGTGGCCGCAGGTGGCCGTATATCCAGCCATCGACTGGGACAGATACGTGGGGTAGAACCTCCAGTTGTCGCGCCATTCCCAGGGAGTCAGCGGCACATAGGGCACCGACTGCTTGGCGTGCGGCGAATGCAGAATCCATTTCTGTATGGAGTACTGGCAGATGGCAAACAAATTGTACGTGATGACGAGTGTCATGTAGAGTCCGCCGAATCCCTTGGTGTAGCGGAGGCAGCGACGCAAGTAGCGCTTGACGTCATACTGCTCCTGCTCCTTCTGCCTTGGTGCCGGAAACACGGACTCCATTTGGCGCACCAGATTGCTCAGCTTTTGCTTCTGCAGGAGCACAGCGCCGATCTTCAGGTCACCCACAATCACAAACCCAATGTAACTCATCACCATGCAGGACTCGATAAAGTTCTCGTTGTTCCTGAACGACACATAGACAAAGGAGATCTCCAGGAAGAGCACATAATTCGCATTGATCATGTGCAGCAGAAAAAGGAGATTAAATCCAATGCCGGGCTTCTTGTTGCTGCCCGTCAGCTCGTACGGGTTTAGGCCAATTGTATGGTAGAAGTAAACCGGCAGTTTCATAAAGTCCTCAATGACGGTGTACGCATTCTTAGGCTTCACGGCGCTTTTAGCCCGTCTACTAAAAATCTTTTCCTTCAGAAACTTCACCGACATCTCTGCGATTGATGACTGCCCAGTGCTGCCTTGTCTTTTATAGTCTGGATTGACATGCAGAAACCGCAAGTTTTCCCCTACAAAAATCCATTGCAGTGCCGAAACATGTGTAGGCGTAAGACTAAAATAAATTATTACCTGCAGTATTTTGCTTTCATATGGGCAAAATTGTTGCGGTTAATCCACTTATGTGGGTTTTTGTTGGCACAACAAATGTAATTGAGCAAAAATCGATTGATATAAGCAGTCCCCAGATCAATAATACCAAGAAACTGTACAAAATATACAGAATTTAATATAGCTAAAGGCACGAGTGCCATTTTTATTTACAGCTTAAAAGGAAACTTCAAGTGAATAATTCCCTATAAAGTTGAGTTTGATTAAAAAACCCGGGGATCAGGAGCAATCAATCACAGAGAAGGTTAAGCATTGAGAGCTTTGGCTCTCATCCGTGAGCCTTTTACATGCTGCAGCGCTGCACGTGGCCATTATGTAATTTCATTTAATATCACGCATACGCCCTGTAAACCTGGCTCAAAGTGCAGCGAGAGAAAAGATGCTCGGATGCTAAGAGACTGAAGGTGATGCGAAGAAGCAGGGGATGAATGGCGTTGGCAGTCAGCACCAGGCAACCGGCAAGCGGCAAGCGGCGGCAGGCAACGCACTTGAGTGCAGCTTATTTTCCTAGGCTTGCATAATTTACGAGCATTTTCATTGATGATGGCAGCAGAACAGCAGCAGAAGCAGCAGCAAAGGCAGAAGAACAGCTTAACCGGGACACTTTGGGCAGGTAAGAGTCGGAGGTGGTCCATGGAGAGCGAGAGATACGCACAATGCACACACTCGTATTCGTACTCGCACTCGCACTGCTCTCGCAGGTACTCATACAGATACAGATTCAGTCACTTAAATTAGCCTTAAGTTGGCTGCAACGAGTGTTTTGCTTAGTTGCTTTGTGCACTTGGATAAGTGCAAGACGGCACCAGGTTGGTTCAGAGGTTCAGGTTTGAGGTCCAGGTCCAGCTACCAGTACCATCTCCTGTAGGAAAGAGGAAAAACTATCAACTGCACAACGAACGACATGCAGGACTCATGAGCTATGCTGTGCATAAGCTGCTGCTCATGCATATCCTAGTGGCATATTTCTTCTCTTTATTTTACTTTATTTTTTTGCTTAACATGTCCAAGTTTGTGACTTGACTGAGGCAAAAGTTTCGCCCCAGTCTCTGGCTCTATCCCTGCTTGATTACTGCCTTTTTATGAGGTACCCAAAAGCAATTTAAATATTCTCCGGCTGTTGTCAATCCTTTTGCAGGTTCCTTTTTCAACGCCTCAAGGCTCTCAGCACACGAGAGTGCAGCCAAAAACGTCTATCCAAAAAGTATATTAAATATAAGCATAAATGGATGATACTCGGTACTTGTTTTATCTGGCTGGCGACTGGAACAAAACGGCTAAGAGCCTTGGGGGGGTGAAAAAGTTAAAAATATTGTTAGCTGCATCATTATTTTATTATGATACATATTATTTTATGTTGCCGATTGCCAGCTCAACATTTTCCGAATATGTATCCTTAATGAGGCATGTCGAAGTTTCCGCTGGTATTTAAGGTGCAGCCGCCCATGGAGTGGCTTCCCGACTTCGTCGCAGTTGCGTCTCCCGATTTTTCAGGCATCCTCCCGCCTCGGGTAGCTACCCCCGCTGCATTTTCAATTTCGTTGAAACAAGCGCAGGAAAATGGCTACGAAGACAACACAACGTGAGCCAATATAAAGGATGCGATACACGCTCCTCTTCATATCTTCATACACTCTCTTGTTGGTTAAAAGCACACTTTGCCATGCCCTTTCACATATGAAGATATGATAAATACAATCTGTAAGGAGATATACATATATGTCTGCTGTGTTACCTGTAGTATTTATTTAAGCAAACTATTTAGATCGATAAAGTGCATACACTTCTGAAGAAATTAAGAAAGTTCGTTGCTTTCTATGTTACATGGAAAAATATTATACATATCTTAGAAGTTCTACAGAGACAAAGTCTTATTCTAAGCAATCATCTTGAAACCTTTTCCTGTACCTAACGTACCCTATTACAGATTCAGCTAAGAACCTTTGATCAAAAAATATCCACAAAATCTTACATAAAATATTTCCTTTTTCATTGTTCTTCCTTAAACATAAATTAATATAAATAATCAATTAGATCTGAAAGTGTGTGTTAAATTCGTGGAAATGTTTTAGCTTTGCTTTGACATATATCCCTTTTTTTCTCAGGCAGACTCAGTCAAGCTGCGTGCACACACAAACAGACAGACAGAGGGATGGGCTGGGCACCCACACTCGCACACATGCAATCACCCAGGGCCAATGTAAAAAAGGCTCGATTATGCTCCCAGCGGGTTTTGCTGCCTTCCAGCGGCCAAGTTTTATTATCAGCAGCGCCGAGAGACGCCCCAGAAGTAGCAGCCGGAGGGTGTTGGGGGGGGTTAAAAGGCAGCAGGACCAAAAGCAGCAACAATAAAACTCATGAAATATGTTTGCCATCAGACACACAAACACAAAGATAGGCAGCCGTTTTTTATACCCTTGCTGGGTGTGTAACGATATTTCGAATATTGGATCCTATATACTGTCCGATCCGTACTCAATATCAGCAACCCGGAATGCGATTTGCTATGATCGAAAATAATTTATAATAAATTAAAGAAGTTTTATCTTTCCATCAAATGACAGAACACAATCAGCTTCAATCCATGCCAATCTAACAGTTATTGAGACTACAGGAAGAACGATCGATCGATCGATCTCTTGTGTGTGGAAGGCCAACCTCAGGGGATCACCCTGCAAGGGTATCAAATGGCTCGGCCCTAGCCTGCCTTTCATGTTGTATTTGTATTTTTTTGTTTCTGCTTTATTCTTCATTTAACAGCATGCCCTTTGGGAGGTGCAGAGCCCACCCACAGTGCCCACTGCTGCGCTTCTTCGCTTCGCTTCGCTTCTCTTTTGGTTCTTTGTTTTCGGACCACTCACTCGGCGCTGGCCGTTTTTATTATGCGCTGCTTTTGGGCTTATTATTTTCTGGCCTTACACTCATTTAAACCATTTTAAAGTAATTTTGCTTATAGCTAATTTTAAGCTATTGCCCTGTGGTAGCCCCAGCGCGGCAACCCCCCACCAGCTCAACCTCCCTCCCTGCCACCTGCTCTGCGGTTGGCTGCCACCAATTGCTGGCTGTTTTTGCTTTGCGCCTTTTCACGTATTCTGCTGTTTTTTATGACAGCTATTGCTCCGTTGAGACAGCGTTTGTTATGGCATTTCTTCGCATTTCCTCACTCTTTTCCACTCTTTCATTTCGTTTCGTTTGCTTTCGCTTCGTTTCCTTTCCATATTTTGTTTTGCTCTTTGGCCCGAGCCTAGCCACAAGGTATTCAGTTAATTTATTATTTATTAAACTTTTGGCATCCATTAGCCGGCTGAAACTTTCACTTTATAAATTGACAATTTGTTATGTTGCTCCGCTCGTTTTCTATTATTTATCTGCTATCTGTATCTTTTTTCTGGGAACTGCTAGAATTATTATCCATTTTTCATATCGTGCACTGGGAATTAGTCAACTCTGCAACCGGCTCTGCATAATCCTGGAGCGGGCATAAAAATTAAACATTAAGATGGCAACGGCACACGGACTAAGCCCAGATCTCCGTCACTTGAGGTGCGGAAAAGAATTATGTATCTGGGCGGGATTTGTTCGGAACTTGTGAAGCTTAAACGCTGTGCTGGGGTTAAGCTGTCGTGCGGCAGCAGCAGCAACCACTACAGCAACACCGAGAAGAATGCTCGGGAAAACAATGAGAATTGCCACAAAAGCTGCTTGACTGCCGGCGCCCAACACTCGCCACACAGCAACCAATTCTAATATTGCTTTTGTTTTTTTTTTTTTGTTGTGCCATCTTTCTCCGGCCGCCACTGAGGCACGCACTGTGGGCTGTTGACTTCAAATTGAGTTGTGGGCCAGTCCGGGACCGTAAAAAACCCCAGCAAGTGCTCTCAGTCCGTGCCACTGGGGCCAAGCGCCAATGCGACAAAAGTCAACTGCTGCAGAGGGACGACGACTATGGACGATGGACGATGGACCAAGGACTGTTGCCCAAGTCTCAGTGCGAAGATATTTATGGCCAATGGGCCAGAAGCTGGTGGTGGCCGGTGGCCGGTGGCCGACCACTTGGCATGAGCGATTCGGCTCTGTGTGTAAGCCGTTTAGGGTTCAATCTCGATGGGGTCGAGCTGTATCCCTTGCCGCCAACGCGTCGCATGAGTGATATGAATGCAGTCAACAAACCAATTGTACGGATTTTTGTTGTTTTCAGTCCCTGTTCCTGTTCCCTGTTCCTCCCTTTGCCCCATCCGCGGTCTCTGCTCCTGTCGTGTTTGGAATTTAAATTGATTAAAATGAGAGGAATTATCGGAATGCACATCTGATGTTGTTCATCTGTGGTGGCTGACAACAGGTGTGAACGGTAAATCAAAACTAATAAATTGGCTAAAAGCACAAAATAGCAAATAAGAACGCGTTCGACTATGAAATACCTATTAATTGGATTAATATTTTTTTAACGGGTGCCAACTAATGAGACATTCCCGACAGCGTATCCAGAACATTTAGAAAGAGAAAGAAAAATAATTATTTGTAATCAAATTTTCGTATATTTTCTACCCATTTTATTTTGCTTTATTTGACTGTATTGGCGAATTTTTAGTTTTGTTTTATTAAACCAAATTAAAGGCCATTTTAAAGGGTCATAGGTTCCACTTTCTCTCTTTAAATAATCACATAATGCCCAGGTACACTCCGCTTACTGAGTATTCAAAGTTTGCGGAAACTGTTTGTGTGATGTGGTTGCATATGTCAAATACCATTTATGGGGGATTTGAAATTATATGTATAAAAATAAAAGCTGCTGAAAAATCGCACATAATCTCAGCTGCTTAGCG